CCCAATGTGTAATGTGGGTTGCATGTGCTTGCTATGTGTTATGTGTGCGTGTTGCCCCAATTCGGTTGCGATCGGATTGGTTATCCTGAGCTGCGGTTCAGAAGCCGGCTACAGTCAGATGGGAATTCCTGGCTGCAGTCGGATGATGGTATCCTGGGCTGCGGTCCAGAAGCTGGTTGTAGTCAGATGGGAATTCCTGGCTGCAATCAGATGACATTTTCCTGAGCTGCGGTTCAGAGGCTGGCTGTAGTCAGATGGGAATTCCTGGCTACAGTCAGATGACACACTCTCTTGGGCTGCGGTCCACTGTTTGGTTGCGATCAAACATTATGGTGAGCTGCGGTTCATCGGTCGGTTGCGATCGACCTCCCCGTCTTGCGATACGGGGCATGGTGCTGCGGGGCTGTGTCAGAGCTATATGCGCTGACCCTCATGTATGGGCATGCGATCGGTCCCGTGGCGCCAACAATGTGCGTTATGTGTGTGATATGGACGAATTGTGACAATGAGCGCCTTGGGGGATGTGACTATGGGATTTATATTGGGAATTGTTTATGATGGGTTGTGATTATTGTTTATGCTTTGCCTTATCTGCCTTATCTATTGTGAACTGCATATACTCGTCATAACTATTGCTTGTGTCTGACCTTATCTGTCGAGTCATTCCCGGTTTTAAAGCTAGAGTTCGTAGGATATATCTTCATGCTCAAAACGGTTTTCATATATCTATATATATCTCTATATGTATTGTATTTCAACGCGTTGGAGTGGGTTACCAGCATCTCTCGCTGAACAGATATATTTGGCTTTCAGGCACAGAGGACTAGAGCACTGGAGCGCGCTAGAATTGGAGCGTAGAAATAGATTAGTTTCCCTTTCGGCCTGCGTGCCATATTATGCATTGTGTTTCAATGGATATTAGTTAGACAGCCTGTGCACCTGGGTTCTCTAGCCCAGGTGTGGCATAGCACCCCGTACACTTATGATACACTTTGGGATGTAATGAGATATTACCTTTATTATATAAGCTTAAAATGTCTTGAAAATCTGGGGTGTTACAGCTATTACTAGAATTATGAATGATAATGGGGATTGGATTGAGGGGGATGCCATGAGAAATATTATCTTGGATTATTATCGTGGTATTTTTCACTCAAGTTCACCTACAGTTGATAATGCTTTCTTTGAGGGTATACAACCACGAGTAACGGTTATACAGAATGAGGGGCTATTACGCCCTTTTGAAGAGAATGAGGTAAAATCTGCATTGTTTTCAATGTATCCCGATAAAGCACCAGGCCCAGACGGGATGAATCCTGGATTCTATCAGCACTTCTGGGATGTGGTGGGGACTGATGTTTCTTCATATATTGTGAATTGCCTGAATGCTGGCTCGTTACCTGGTAAACTGAATGAAATAAATATTATTTTGATCCCGAAAAAGAAAACCCCGGAGATGGTTTCTAACTATAGGCCAATTGCTTTGAGTAATGTCATTTATAGGGTAATGGCCAAAGTTATTACTGCCAGAATGAAGCCACTAATGGAGAATATTATATATGAATCTCAAAGTGCGTTTATCTCTGAGAGACTAATTACAGATAACATATTGATAGCTACGGAAGTTGGGCATTATTTAAACAGGAAGCAATGTGGACTAACAGGTTGGGGGGCTCTAAAGCTGGATATGGCAAAGGCCTATGACCGTATGGAATGGTCTTTTTTGCAAAATATGTTAATGGCACTGGGGTTTGATGAAAAATGGGTGAAATTATTGATGATGTGTGTGACCACTGTGTCTTATAGTGTGCTGGTTAATGGTTCACGGAGTGAGCAAATAATTCCGACTCGTGGTTTACGACAAGGTGATCCCCTGTCGCCTTATTTGTTTATTATTTGTGCGGAAGGGCTTTCATTATTATTACAACAGGCACAGGCAAAGGGAGAGATACATGGATGTAGAGTTGCTAGAGGGGCACCTTCTATTACCCACCTATTTTTTGCTGATGATAGTTTGCTTTTTTTCAAAGCAAATGCCCAAGAAGCAGGTGTCATTAAATGTTGTTTGGAAAAATATGAGGAAATGTCTGGCCAAGCTGTCAACTATCACAAATCGAATATTTGTTATAGTAAAAATACCAGAGACGAAACACGGGAAGAAGTTGCCAATATATTGGGTGTGGTGCAGGCTCAGAATTTTGGAAAGTACTTAGGGCTTCCATCATTTGTGGGCAGGAATAGAAGGGCAGCTTTTTCTTATATTGAAGATAAGATAAGACAAAGGATTAGCTCATGGAATAAAAAACTCTTGTCACAGGCAGGGAAAGAGGTTTTATTGAAAAGTGTGGCTCAGTCTATGCCTACCTTCTCAATGAGTGTCTTTTTACTACCTGCCACTCTATGCACTGCCATTGAGCGAACCATGAATCGATATTGGTGGAGGTCAAAGAATGATCAAGGTATTCATTGGAAAGCATGGGATAAGTTATGTATCCGAAAGAAGTATGGGGGATTGGGGTTTAAGGAGTTGCGAGCGTTTAACCTTGCTATGCTAGGAAAGCAGGGGTGGCGGTTCCTCACACAGCCACAGTCATTGGTTTCAAGAGTTTATAAAGCCAGGTATTATCCCACTAACTCTTTCTATGATGCATGCTTGGGAAATAACCCGAGTTTTTGTTGGAGAAGTATTTTGGCAGCACAAAAGTTGATTTGTGGGGGAGTTAGGAGAAGAATTGGGAATGGCCAGTCAACATTGATATGGGATCACCCTTGGTTGCATGATGAAAGTCGACCAAAAATATTAACAGAAAAACCACCCCAGTTGGCACAGGCAAAAGTAATGGGTCTGATGGATCAACAGACAGGAACCTGGGATAAAGATATTCTAACAGATATTTTCATACCTGAGGATGTCGAGCGAATTTTGAAAATACCGGTGGCACCAGATTATGAAGATTTGTGGTATTGGTATGGGGACCCAAAAGGTGAATATTCTGTTAAAAGTGGGTATAGAACAGTAGTTGGAGAATATACCCCACCAGTGGGGACATTTGATAAATGGCATAAATTGTGGAAGCTTAAAATCCCCCCCAAGTGGAAAACATTTTTATGGAGAGCTCTGAATGATATTTTGCCCACTACAATGAACCTACTTATAAAGAGGGTGGATATTGATCCAACATGTGCTATGTGTGGAATTGGACATGAAGATGTTGTGCACTCTTTGATTACGTGTGACTATACGGCAGACATTTGGACACAATCCCACCTTCCAATCCCTAATAATGTTACAAATACTTTTAGAGATTGGTTTAATGATTTGATGAATGTTTTAGATGATGATGGAATTATTTATGCAGTGGCAATTCTCTATTATACTTGGCGCACAAGGAATGGAGCTGTATGGGATGCGTACTTACCCAGACCTCGGAAAGTGATTGTAATGGCATCAGCAGCTCTGAGTGCATGGAAATCAGTTCATCATCGAAGTCGAAATCAGCAGTCCAATGCTACGGTTTCGGATAGCCATGTAGCAGTGACCGAAGACGCTATAGCGGCTGTGTCCATGCCGATAAATGGGACTGCCATGCCGAACACGGAACTGCGACACCCACAGCAGTACACGCCAAGCAGCTCACACCATGTTGCTCAGAACATAAGGGATCAATGTTACTTCGATGCGACATACGACCCACGGACGAACAAAGCAGGAGTGGGGGCTATTATCTTAAGCGGACAAGGGGGTTATATTTCGGCTATGACTACTCCAATGATAGATTGTTTTTCACCCCTAATGGCGGAAGCTTACGCATGCAAGGAAGTTTTGTCGTGGTTGAGAAACTGCGAAATAAAGTCTATCGACCTCTACACGGATTGTTTGGTGCTTCAACAATATCTGTCATCTATGACACACTCGTCACGGACCTACTTGGGTTATGCCATTGATAGTTGCAGGACTAATATATCGACTTTTGATTATTGTTTTCTTCATTATATTCCTAGCTTAGAAAATTATTTAGCTCATACTTTAGCATCTACCGCTTTTACTCATTCGACTTTTATGTACTGGGACTCTGATCCACTAGCTTCTATTTCTGCATACTTTGAATAAAATGCCGTACAGGCTCCTTTCAAAAAAAAAAAAAACTTGGATATTTAAATAATATTTTAAAAAATTCCAGACCAATCCTTGGATAAAACATTAGTATATTATTAAAATAAGAAAATAAAAAATCCTATAATAAAATTATTATCAGAAATCCAAAACTATTTTTCCCAAACTCTTCAACAAATATTTTTGCTTTGTCAACAATGCAACATCATGTTTAAGGGAATAGCTCACACAAAGCTATCACTACAGGAAAGCTAAGGAAAGAAAAACACTACACTACAGGAAATTAAGGCATTTTATGAACACTACACTTCTGTCAATAAGAACCCCAATCAATCCTTTTATGAACACAAATCTTTATATATGTATATATATAGAGAGAGAGAGAGAGAGGGGTGATCACATGTGGTCATGTTGTTAGGTGTGGTCGTGTGGCGGAATTTCATAATACACCAATAGTTAAGTAAGATATACACCATCAACGTCAGGAAATGCACCACAAAAAACGCACACAAATTAGGTACGCATCACCAACAACACACCATTAGGTGTGAGTAAAAACACCATACAGTGTTTGGAAATAAACCATTGGGGTTGGTGAGTTATATGGTGTATTTTTTGGGTCTGTTGTGTATTTTTTGGTATTTTTTTTACATTTCATAGTGGTGTGTTTCCCTTACACTGTTGGTGCATGTTGTTAACACTGTTAGTGTATTCTGAAATTCCGCCACACGACCACACCTAACAACATGACCACATATGAGCATTATTCTATATATATATATATATATATATATATATATATATATATATATATATATATATATATATATATATTTACCAGGCTTAAATTATTCTACTAATTAAAGAAATATATTCACACTCCCACTACAAAGTAATAATTTATTGCATTTCATTCAAAATGAGAAGAATTACAAACCAAACACTACAACAATCACACACCTATGGCATGAAAATGAAAACAACAAAACTGTAAAAACAGACAGAAAACCACAACATACCACACGCTAAGACTGCTGCATTGCTTCAATTCATCTCACCATCCTCTTGACTCTTGCACTCCATTATCAATTCCCAAGTATTAGACATATAAGCCATCGTGGTTTTCCATACTTGAATATGAGCTATCCTATGAAAATACCAAATGGATGGCATGCCACAACTGTATCCAATAACAACACTTCGCCAACCAAATCCACTCCAAAAATTTTCTAAATCCTCCACAACTGGTGCTTTCCCTTCACCTCTGTCCTCGCATTTCAAAGTTAGTGGAAATCCACACAGAGTCGTGTTTCCTAAATAGGAATTGTTGCCAAAGGTTTCAAACTTTGGGCCATTAGGTATACGACCAGAAAGATTATTATAATAAAGATTCAGTACTGCAAGAAATGTTAAGGATCTTGAAAGTTGTCCTGGAATCTCGTCCACTAGTTTGTTCGATGATAGATCAAGTGCCTCAAGAATTGTCAAATTTCCCAGTGATGGTGGAATATAACCAGTGTGCTGATTGTGTGAGAGATTGAGAAACCGGATGAGAATTAACCTTTGTTGATTTTGTCTCATATATGGATTAAGAATATGAGTTTGTCTCATACTAGGAGTAGGAGTGAAACAGGTAGACCCAGTGTACAGGGATTAGATGCTTATAAATATATTGGTTGTATCCCTATGGGGTTGTGTCACCACTATCACCATCACTATGAATATAAGAATTGTTTCACTCCCGTGGATGTAGGCACTTTTCCGAACCATGTAAATCTTGTCTTCTTTACCCTTTCTGCCATTATTATTGTTTCTTGTTCTTGTTAATCTCAACAAATTGGTATCAGAGCACTGTTGAGATGGTTTGATGGTACAAGGAATTTTAGGTTAAGGCAGTTTAGGGTAATGGATTTGTTGGTATTCCAAGGCCTTCTGAAAACCTTGAGGGCGGAAAAGTCAACTAATATGAAAGAGGCTGATTGGGAGGAGTTGAAGAAGCAGGAAGCTATGAACGTGGTTCAAGCCGATGACTCTTATTATAGTGAAGGTGATGTTCGAGCGGTAACTAGTAACAAGTTCGAATATTTTTTGGACTTGTTGGGCGTTTCTAGGATCTATATTTGAGGGGCGCTGTGGTGTTGGGCAGCGCGGATACCAGGAGGGGTCGCGGACCTGGTATGGGCTGGGTTTGTCATGAGTCATGGCTGGTATAGGCCGGGATTGGCATGAGTCACGGCTGGTGCGGCGGATTGCTTGGGACGAAGTGAACATGCACGGGGAAACATTTGATGCTGCGTGGTGCGTGTTACTGACTAGTGGCAATTGCTGGTTAATGGAGCATTGGGCAAGGCACACTGGTTTAGTGTGACTTTGCAGGGGCGCTGTTGTGTTAGAGACATCGTGGATACCAGGGGGGACATGGACCTGGTATGGGCCAGATGTAGGAGGTCAGTTGAACGGGCAGTTAGCATGAGTCGCGGCTGGTATAACAAGTCGACGGCTAAGGGCGAATGGCTTGGGAAGAAGTGATTCGTGTACATGCACTGGGTAACGTTTGATGATGCGTATGCATGTGGCTGGCTAGTTGGGATGAGCATGGTTGCTCCTACCCATGTGTGTATGTGAGATAAGTCTTTTTCTCCTAAATGGCATATTTGTGAAGGTGGTGGAGATGGTGAGATAAGTCTTTTCTCCTAAAGGACATATTTGCCAAGGTGGAGATTTGTTGAGTTATCTTTTCTCCTAAAGAGCATATTCGTCAAGGTGGAGATAGTCTTTTCTCCTAAAGGGCATATATGTGAAGGTGGAGATGGTGAGATAAGTTTTTTCTCCTAAAGAGCATATTCGTCAAGGTGGTGATTTGTTAAGTTATCTTTTCTCCTAAAGAGCATATTTGCCAAGGTGGAGATTGTTGAGTTTGTCTCATATATGGATTAGGAATATGGGTTTGTCTCATACTAGGAGTAGGAGTGAAATGGGTAGACCTTGTGTACACAGATTAGATGCCTATAAATATATTGGCTGTATCCCTAAGGGGTTGTGTCACCACTATCATCACCACTATGAATAAGTGTATTGTTTCACTCCCGTGGATGTAAGCACATTGCCGAACCACGTAAATCTTGTCTTCTTGACCTCTTTTGCCATTATTATTGTTTCTTGTTCTTGTTAATCTCAACAACCTTCCCAAAGATTTTGGAATCTCACTGTGGAAGTAGTTACTGGATAAATCAAGGGATGTGCAGATATTATAATGCACCACTTGACGCTCGACCCCTTTCCACACCAGGCTTATTGAAGTTTCATAATATGATAACCTTTCATCATCATTTGCACTCTGCATGGCTTTAAAGTTTTCCATATAATACCTTTGGCAAAGGACCATTGAACTCATTGTGTGAGATATCAAATATATGCAGCTTTGGGAATGGAAGTATAGTGCGAGAAATGCATATTTCACCATAAAAATGATTAGATCTCAACACAAGAACACACAAATCAAGAAGAGTATCTATCCAATGAGGGAATGAATCACGAAACCTGTTGTTTCCAAGATCTAGAAATTTAAGGTTGGTGCAGTTTCTCAAACCTCGGGGTAACCGGCCTCCCAATTGATTGTCATTCAAATTGAAATACTCCAAGATGTTTCTGGTTCTGCAAACTCATAACATACTCAATGTGTAATCAGGGAAGGGAGACAACATATGTACAAACTCACATCGACAAGTGACATCAAGACAACCATAAAACTCACAACGAACATCATAGACCATACTTTGAACCAACGAGATACAAGTTTATTCCACATGCATAATTTGATACTCACAGATCCTTTTACGGTACTTAGGGCATCATTCTAGACTTACAAACATCAAGGAAGACACTTCGGGGCACGGGGTTCGACCAAACGGAGGCCGACGGACCACCACAACAACGTTCCAGCGGGTGGACAACCACCCGCCGGGAACACGCCACTGTTCTAGCGGGTGAAGTGGCGGGTGTTTGTCCACCCGCCAGCCCCCTGTTGGAACCTACACCACGTTCGGCGGGTGGTCAGGTGGGGGTTCGACCCCCCCCCCCCCCCCCCCACTGACTACCCGCTGGAACAACATCCACCGGGAATTTTCCCACTTCGGGAATTAACCAATTTGCCCAATTTCAATTCCAAACACTCCAAAACTCACATCAACAATAATAGAGACTTGAGTACACAGAATAACTCGACGAACATCATTATTGAACCCTAAACACAAGCTCTAAACATGCAGGAGCACAAGAATATGCATATAATCGCTCAAGAACATCAAGAACCTCAAGAAACCACAATATAAACCCTAAATACAAGCTCTATATCAAGGCATAATCACAAGACATTGCATTCAACCACTCATGGATGCCAATAAATCATAATATAGCAACGAAAATAGTTTTTGTAAGACATGGGGGTTACCCTTTCAGCCTAATTAAACTTCTCACAACTCCTAAGATCCTTCTTCAAGGTCCTCTTCCAATTAATCTATCCTAAGCTTGGTGATCGGGAGAGGTCTAAACCTGATAGCCTTCGATGGTGGAAAATATGGGGATTCTTTGACTAGGTTTTGGGAGGGATTTTCGAGTGAGAGAATAGGGATGGGTGAAAAAGGGTTCTAACTGCTTTCTAATTCCTTTTAAATAGGTTTAGGATTCCTAATAAGAATCTAAATAGTAATGGGCTCACCTTCTTTATTCTAACGGGCTCAAAGGCTTTATTATAGATAAGGGTCCACGGTCTACCATGGACCATATCAATAATTTAGGGGATTCTGATCCAAATTAACTCCTTTTAACCACCCTTAGCGGACATCATTAAAATAATGATGAGGCAACTTAAGAATTAATTAATTAATTAATTAATTCAGATTTGAAGGGTAAAATTACGGGGTGTTACACTCTTCCCCCCTAACAAGAAGCTTCGTCCTCGAAGCTTAGATTCAACGAGGTCTCCACTAAGACAAACTAACTAAGGTCGAACGTCGGACTAAACAACTTACCTAGCCCTAACTCTAAGTAACGTAAGCTAAGGGATAAATAAGGTACCATGAGTAAACAAGTTGGGGTAGCGTTCCTCATCGCATCCTCTAGCTCCCAAGTTGCCTCCTCAGTCTCGTGATTGGACCATAGGACTTTCACCATCTTCACTGAATTCCTGCGAGTTTCTCTCGTCAAGGTGTCTAAGATCCTCAGGGTCTTTCCTCATAGGATAAAGTCTCATCTAAACACACAACTTCGGGTTGAAGGACATGAGTAGCATCATGCACATATTTCTTTAGTTGGGACACATGGAAAACGTTGTGTACACGATCCAATTCTAAAAACAAACTCCTGGAATAAACCCCTGAAAATGATTTCTTGCTAAATTAATAACAGTAAGTTCCTTGCTGAAGTTCTGTAAACACTGAGGCAGTGAACCATGTAAATTGTTGTCTAATAGATCAAGAAATTGCAAGGAACTAAAACTGCACAACCATGTATCCATTCTACAAATCAAACTAAAATTTTTTGTTTGATCTATGCCATTACTAATTGTTGGAACTGGAGTTGGAGCTAACATGCCTCCAAGTTTTTTTTTTAAAAACAATTAAAGTTGTCAAACATTTCAATTTTCCCAGGCATTGACGAATTGGGCCATCTAAACTGTTGTTGGATAAAATGAGCACTTCAAGAGACTGTTTGAAGATTGCATAGTGATCCTGGAATACTTCCTTTCAACTTTTTGGAGCTAAGATCAATATATCTTAGTGAGGATATAGTTCCAAAAGCAACGTGGGATTAAATCTTCCAAACTATTGTTTGATAAATCCATATCCTCAAGGAAAAGAAGATTCCAGAGTGATCCTGGAATACTTCCTTTCAGCATGTTGGATCTGAGATAAAGACTTCTTAGTGAGGATATATTTTCAAAGCACCATGGGATCAAACCTTCCAACCTATTATTTGATAAAAACATAACCACAAGGGAACCAAGATTGCACAGTGATCTTGGAATACTTCATGTCAACATGTTGGAGTAGAGATTAAGAGATCTCAGTGAGGTTATATTTCCAAAGCACCATGGGATCAAACCTTCCAACCTATTTCTTGATAAATGCATATCCTCAAGGGAAAGAACGTTGCATAGTGATCTTGGAATATTTCCTTTTAGCATGTTCGATTCAAGATAAAGACTTCTTAGTGAGGATATATTTCCAAAGCACCATGAGATCAAACCTTCCAACCTATTTTCTGATAAATCAATATCCTCAAGGGAAAGAAGGTTGCATAGTGATCCTGGATTTTTTTCTTTCAGCATGTTGGATTCGAGATAAAGACTTCGTAGTGAGGATATATTTCCAAAATACCATGGGATCAAACCTTCCAACCTATTGTTTGATAAAGCCATAAACTCAAGGGAACCAAGATTGAACAGTGATCTTGGAATACTTCCTTTCAACATGTTGGAGTAGAGAAAAAGATTTCTTAGTGATGATATATTTCCAAAGCACCATGGGATCAAACCTTCCAAACTATTGTATGATAAATCCATATTCCCTCAAGGGAAAGAAGGTTGCATAGTGATCTTGAAATATTTCCTTTCAACATGTTGGATTCGAGATGAAGAATTCTTAGTGAGGATATATTTCCAAAGCACCATGGGTTTAAATCTACCAAACTATTGTCTGATAAATCCATATCCTCAAGGGAAAGAAGGTTGCATAGTGATACTGGAATATTTCCTTTCAGCATGTTGGATTCAAGATAAAGACTTCTTAGTAAGGATATATTTCCAAAGTACCATGGGATCAAACCATCCAACCTATTGTTTGATAAAGCCATAAACTCAAGAGAACCAAGATTGCACAGTGATCTTGGAATACTTCCTTTCAACATGTTGTAGCTGACACTACAAAAAAATCAGTCATTTAGCCAAATATAACTGCTCACCAAGAAGTGAATCACTGACCGCAGCCAGGAGAATGAACCACAGCTCATAAGTAACCAAACAGTGGACCGCAGCCCTATATAATATTTATATACCTGACCGATCGCAACCGACCTGGTTAACAGTTGGGATGGTTCACCAACTTGGTTCTCACCATTTATGGCGGAGGACATAGCTTGTAAGGAGGCCCTATCCTGACTACTCGAGAAGAATATAATGATTGTGGATCTACTCACGGATTGCACGCAACTCCAGAATGCCATACACCAGGAGTCAAAGATTATAATGTCTTATGCTTGGGTCATAGTGAACCAATGTAGGTATTTAGTGGCTTCGTTTGCTTATTGTTCGTTAAGTTATGTTTCTAGGCATGTTAATTCACATGCACATGTTTTAGCCTCTTTAGCTTTTGCTCAGGACCAGTTTATGTTTTGGGATTCAATCCCTCCTGACTCGATTGCAGCTTTGCTTCATTAATACAATCATTTATTGGTTGGTTTTCAAAAAAAAATAAAAATTCATCAATTGATTATATTCACTACATTGTCCCTACAATGCCTTTATTCAAAAAAAAAATTATTCATTATCAATAAATTAATTAATTAATTAAGAGAAATAATTTCATTAGTTATATTGTCTTTATTTTTCTACAATGTAAAAATTCTTTACATTCGAATTCACCAATTGATTATATTCACTATTGATGTGAGCCAAATTGTGCATATTTCTTGTATTAGTTTGTTAGTATTTGTTTGTATTAAGTTCATGATAATATCACTTTAAATACATATTCCCTTGTTCTCATCAAGATATGGTTTACACTTGTTTTGAATGTTTTACGGTGTTTGTTAGTGTTTCGGAACCATTTTACGTCAAGTGCAAGAGCAAGGGATGTTCTAGGACGAGTTTGGAGCCGAAATGGACCAAAAATGCGCGATTTAGAGGATTCGACGCTTCGAGCCATTCCAAATATTCCAGTAGGGTGGTCATTCGAAGCTTAGCAGACTCGACGCGTTGAGAAATTACAGTAGCGGTCTGGAGCGAGGAGTTGAAGACTCGACGTGTCGAGTCATGTCTCAAAGCGTCGAAACGTCCCATCCCAGAACCGAGAAAAGTCTACGCCTCATTCTCAACGCATCGAGCGGGCTGTTGGGCAGATTTTTAGCAGCTTCCAAAAATTGGCGGAAATTTCCTATTTTGTCCCGATTTGACTCCCGCTACAAAAGGGCGCCTTCCTCAACCCTAGGTCACATTCATGCTCAATTTTGGAGACAAGAAAGACGAGAATTGAGAGACACAAGTTGTCTTGGGAAGCAAGGAGAAAGCTAGTAGTTTTCACTTGTGTTGCAATTGCGTTTTATATTGTTG